ATATATAAAAAAATTACTTGAGAAGTATAAAATTGAAGGTTTTGAAGTTTTATATCCTACAATGACACTCCCAAATGTATTTCTCCTAAATCATATAGCAGAATCTCAATGCCCACTTTGTAATCAGGAGCACACTAGTAATAACGCATATATAATCCAAAATAAGAAAACTTATCAATATTATTGCCATCGAGCAGATCAAAAAATGCAAATAGGCACAAAAACTCTCATTAAAACTTACTTTGAATGTATCAGTCTTGGAACAGAAAAATAGTCTTCTATTCTCAGAAAAAATAGAGTAACCTAGAATCTCAGATTCAAATGACCACTTTGTATAGCATGATTTAATTCATATATGCACTTCTAAGAAAAATTTTACTTGGAATGAAATATATAATGCAATCCAGGCCACACTTGCTTGCATGATAAAAGATAAATGAACATGGATTCTTAAATACAGAAAACTGGATGGTAGATTATACTTTGGTATAGCACTTACTCTTGATTTCAGTAAAATAACTATTAATATAATAGAACTTGGAGGAGAACCAATAAAATTGATCTCTTTGATAGATCATATATATGACAGCAAGGCAATTATTTATAATGATATTGATTTTTTATTATATCCATCTAATATCAAACAATCAAAAAATGAATTTTTTAATCTTTTCTTAGGATTTAAGACTAAACTGGCATTTTGAATTAATTACGATCTTGTGAACCCAATTATATGGCATATAGAAAATATCTAGTATGATGAAAATAAAGTTCTTTCTACATATATTCTCAAATGGTTAGCATTTTTAGTTCAGTATTCAGCAATAATTTCAGGTACAATTCTTGTTTTGTATTTACTGCCACGATGTAGAAAAAATATTATTATTGATTTTATTCGAAAAAGTTTATTTGGTCCAGAGTTTGTATATTCAATGTCCAATTTAGGCAAAATTTTGAGAAAATTCAACAGTAGTATTCAAAGATGTAAACTTATAATTATAAATGAAGTGAGAATGTTAAGTAAAGAATGGTATAAGTCAAATAATCACTTAAAATCTCTAATTACAAAAGATTATATCTCAATTGAGCATAAAGGTCTTGAAAATCAAGAATGTAATCATTTTTCCAGATTTATAGTATTAAATAATCATGACACCCCAATCTGTGTTGAGCAAGAAGATGGTCATATTGTATGTTTAGATGTTTCACCTCGATGTAAAGGTAATTTTAAATATTTTGATCAGTTGGGAAAAAATCTCAACTATCCTAATACATCTGGATCTTTTATGAGTTATTTACTTGATCAAAACCTTTTGAATTGGAATTCACAAGAAAATATTCCTACCACTAAAATAAAAACAGAGACAATGCATGAGCATCTCTCAAATCTCATCTGATTTATAATTGATCATATTTCAGTATAGTCAGAAGATTAAATTGAAAAACTGAGTTGTGCTATATTATATCAGGAGTATTGTATATGGTGTAAAGCTAATGGTAAAAAGCCATTCAGTAATAATAATTTTGAAAAAAAATCTCACAAGTTAACATTGAACGAAAACATACTAGTGATAGAAAAAGAGAATAGCAGTATGTTCTCGATCGTTCCAAAATTGTGGCCAAGCTACCTGAATCAGTAGGTGATATCAAGAAATTTTTTGATGCACCTCAAGCTGAGACATCCTCTGATGCATTCACAGATATCTCTGTATTTAATGTACCTGAAATTGTAGACCCAAAGAGTCATTGCCTTGCAATAAATCCTCAATCAGTAAAAAATATAGCTGAATTATCATCACCAATAATATCGAAAAAGATAAGAAAATAGTGTCTACCCCAGCTATTACTAATATGTCCTAAGACTTCTTTGACTCAAAATAGATTAACTAGAATGTTCAGTTGCTTCGACATCAGTGTCTACTAATATATCTTCACTCCCTGAGATCATACATATAGAACCTGTAGATGATAAAGCAGAACCTTCTCCCAAAAGCATTGATTCAGTAAATAATAAAGCTGAGATTTCTTCTAACTTGCCTGCAAATGATAAACCCAAACCCAGCAACAAAAAGCCAACATCCAATCAGAATCATATCCACTTAAATATATACCTCGAGCAGAAAAAGAAAAATGTCTCAGACAGTATGCTGTAGATCATGGCAAGGATCCAAAAGTCTTTATAACTATAACTGAAAAAGATAAGAATTTAGCATATATATACTATAATAGATTTTGTTCAGACACAAACATAATCCAATTCGCAAAAGATACTGATGATGACCCAAATACATTAATGAACATGTCTAGATGAGAATGATTAATAAGTGAAGAAATTATGCTTCAATTGTATGAAGATAATACTCCTGAGCAAGGAGTTATTATAATAAGGAATAAATAAAAAAAATAATGATATTCCAGAAAAATGGATATCTATAGTAAGATTACTATACATACTAAGGTGAATTTCATAGATAGAGGGGATTTTTTGTTTCTACAAACTAGTCAATATAAAAATTTTTAGATAAAAAATATTACACAACCTTTGTGTTATATACTGGTTTTTGTGATGCCTAAAATGCTATTTGGTAAAATTTTAGTTAATACTTCATTTCTACTTTGATTTTAAATATAAAAGTGATAATAGAATAGTATAACCACTTTGTGAATTGAAAATGCTTTGTAATTGGTTATTAGTCAGAGATATTCATTTATGTAAAAACCTAGTGAGAAGAGAATATTGCACCCTCCATGCATTCAAAATTTGAAAGAGTATAATAATTTTCCAACTATGTAAAGAATGTGAGCAAGGGACTAAATCGAGTATTCAACTTTGTGTACTATGTGGACAAGGTAGGAAAAGAGTATATAGATATTATGTGTCAAAGATATGAGCTTTGCTATAAACAGAAAAATGTAAAAAAAACTCTATGCACTTAATTTCTATACCTGTGAAGCAAATTACTAGATAAGTATTATCATTAATTTTTTCGTATATAATCCAGGTCTTTGAGAAATAATCAATCAAACTTATCAATTTCATAAGTAACAATTAACTATTATCATTTTCATAACTAGTAACACACTAATCATGTACACTAAAGAGCTGGAGTATAATAAAGAAATGATTACTATTAAGGAGTTATTCAAATTGTCTAAACATTCAGAAAAACCAAAAATATATAATCCTAAAACAAATTGTATGATTGCAATCAATAGGTCAGCATATAATAGATTGTTATATAATAATTATATATATTGAAGAGAAGAAGACGTTTGGTTCCATCATTCAATGAAATGCCAATACTAAGAAAAAGACTATCTTTTGTATCTAATAAGATTTGGGATATTGTTGCAGAAAAAAGTCTTTTTACAAAAATCGATAGAAAAGTAAGTTTACTAGAAATCCTGCTTAAGACAAACTGGAATGGATTCATCATATGTGATTTGCTAAAATTATACTGGAATAGTAGAAAAACTCAGGAATAGTGAAATAATATTTTCATGAATTTCCTCTATCACCCAAATTTAACTTCATTAAAATATAGGCCAAATGTCTTGTATGATACATTCAGTAAAGCAGATGTTCTAGATCCAGAACATATACTTACTATAGTAAGAACACTACAATAAAAAATAAAAATAAATCATAAATCATAATATAGTCCAGATTGCCACTTCAAAGCTATAAATTTTTTTCATTATATACTATGTATTGGTAAACTTTAAATCAACATCCCAGTTACTCTATAGGTAGCTATATATGCTTTTTTTCTGAGTATGGAAGAAAAAAGCATAATTAGTTTCGATTTAAAAAAGAATCTTCATAGTATATATTAGATGAAAGTAGTTTATATAAAACATCTCAACCAACATATACTAACTATAACAAAAATCACTACATTATTTCTAAATTACTACAAATTGACTTCTCAAACTAGTTTACTTCAACTTAGTAATTATGCCAAAGAGTTGGCTAATAAACTTTCAGATCGTAAAACAAAAAAGCAGGTTTGAAAAGCCAGAGATTAGGCCAAAAGATGCTTTCAAAAGTTGTGATTGAGTAAAGAACAAGCTGATACTCTTATTCCTATTTAAGCTCCTAGAAGACATGTTTATAAAAAAGATCTTATTAAAATTATTGTCCAAGATATTATAAAAAATAATCTCTTACCTGAAGAAATAAATAGAATAGCATATGATTTGGCTTCTTCTGCTCCTACTACTGTTGTAGGAAATTCTCATCTTAATTTATTATGGAAAGAGTTGCATAGCTTAGAAGCTGATTATCTTATTACTGAGGCAATGAAAATACCTTTTATTACTGAAGAAGCAAATCAGATTCAAGCAAAAAAGCATATATTTCGTGAAATTAATGGTTACAATTGTTCCAAGTTCTTTTACCTGAAAAAAGTTCAGAAAAGACTTAACGAATATAATATTACCAAGCTTCCTTCAATGCAAAATCTAATAAATGTAATGATAATGCTATATATGCAATTAGTAGATATGAAAAATCTTCATATCAATCGATACAAACCAAGTCACGAATCATAGTATAATCCTGACTATTCTTGATACTAAATTGGTTATGCAAAAAATAAAGATGAGGTAGAAGAACTCTAGCCATTCCTTTCAATAGAAAAAAATCCAATATAAGCAAGAGAATTACTTATCTGGATTTAGAGATCAATACTAAATAAATTTCCCTTCTTGTTAAAAGATAAGGATAGAAATACTAATGTTGCACCTCTTAATCAATTCTTAAGTTGCCATAGAATTATCTTATATATATTAAGAAAAATAGGTGCTAATCATATTTTCAGAGTACATAGAGGTAGGAATGATTCTCACTGTTAATATTTATGGCAATTGGCATGTAAACATAAAATAGATCATTCTTTATTAGTTGAATATTATGGTGTAATGAATGACAGACCAAATACCCTAACACCTAAACAAGAAAATAGTGAGGTCAAGAATATCATTGGCCTATATAATTCCTAATTGCTTTTATCCCATTTAGAGTTGAACCCAGACTCAGATGAGGATGAAGATTCAGATGAGGACTTAGATATAATATCGTTAAAAATTAATTTTTTTCTTTTAGCCTCAGATAGTATATGATTTTTCTGAGAAATATCTGGGTTTGCTATTGAGCTTATAATATCTTGCTGAATCTTAGGTTTTACTATTTTTAGTAATTGATGAAGAGAGATCTGAATTTTTTTATTTGACACTTGTTTAATAATGTGAGATATTACACTATTACCATTTCGAGATTTATGATTATTTTCTAATATAGCTTTATTCATTGTCAATATCGTATTGTAATATGTACCTTGGTACTAGCTTTGCTATTATTTATTATATTAATATATAATAAAATTCAGAATAAATAATATTTTTCTGCGATGTCATGTGTTTTATTTTAAAGAAATGACTCAAAGAGCCTAAATCTATGAATCGGAGATCAGCATAGAAGTATTTCAATACTAACCAAGGGATTGAAAAAATCAAGCGAATTCAAACATATAGTGCTGATTATATTTCAAAGCTTAATACTACACAAATTTATAGTATTATAAAGTATTTTAACTAGTGCAGATCATGTCCCCGAAGTTGACGCCAATGTGATATTAATATTTTTTATTAAATCATATATAAGTATAATTACAGTATATAATTTAATTCATAATAAAGTTTATACATACCAATACTGCAATATTGTTAAATATAGCAATAGGCATTCAATCAACATGTATAGATCTTGATCTAAGGTTTATGCATGTAAGGCAGGGCAGGTTTGTATAATAAAAAAATTTTAGCCATGTTATATTTTTTCTGTCAATATATAACAATGAAAGGTCAGAATAGCATACTCATATGTAAAGATAAACAAAATTGCTTCGAAAAGTGGCACATCTTTAGAGGTTGGAAGCACGGGTGTAAGGTCTGTGATGAATGCAATCACCATTCACATCTGTATTGTAAAACATGCAAAAAAGTAGTAGATAGAATATATAGGCAATGCGAGTATGAAAATTCTCGAATAGTATAAAAATAAGTGATTTGATAATAACAGTAAATCAGATTGTGTAAAATTTTTGTCAAAGCCTTCTGTGTCAATCGATGTCATAATGAATGTATGAGTTAACCTAGTGCTCATCACAATATCACATGACTATCATTCGGCCTAGGTTAGGGGTGGGTTAGAGCTAGGTTAGGGCATAGTTTAGGCCAGTTTGTTTAATTTTGGTAAACAAATATATTTATCATATGATCATCGATCATTGGGTTAACTATTTTTAAAATGTTTCGAATGTATTTTATTGTATAGTTATCGATGTATACTAGGATTTTCTTGGAAAAGTGATCATTAGCTTTTAATTGCTAGACAAAATGACACATAAATTCATAGATTATAGCATTAAAGAAAGTTGATCTTCTAGTGCTGAAAACAGTTCGAAAGACAAATATCAATGCACATAATTTTCTAGAAAAAAAGTTATTTAAAAATTATAATATCCCACAAAATATAAACCAAGCCAGCATTATTGTCATTATTTGTTTCAGCAAAAGATTAATTTCTTTTTTTTGATTACAATTTTTTCACATTAGATTATGATATATTCATACACTAAAGTCAAAGTATATACAGATCTATGCTTGATATCTCATTAAAATATTAAAAATGTTTTGCACAACCAAAGCATATAGTGGAATCGAATCCTTTTCTGCTTGTGCTAGAAATAAAGTAGATGTGTATTCTTCTTGTAGAATATCTTGGAAAACAATGGGCGGAAGCCCATTGCAGATGAGATATAATGCCATAATTGAATATCCAACATGCCTATTACTATCTGCAAATAGATGAACATGAAGGAAGGTTGAAAGTATATGACTAGCGATTATGAGAGGATGAAGACTACTATTTTGGCTCTCGTCTCGAAATTGTATGAATTTTTCCATCAATGCGGGGACTTCTAGTGGAAGCTACAGGAAATATGAATTAATTAATAATCAAATCTTAAATAAATCTCAAAATAATGTTAACAGAGCTTACTGGATAAACGATATATATTGAACCATGTGCTTCTATTTCTGTCTTTCAGAACTCACCTGCGCATTGAAAATCCTCACCAAATTCAATTCTCTCCAGAGATGTGTCTTTTAATATAATGCGATGGACCGTCTTGATATCATCAAGGTTAATTTCGTGATCTAACTCATAAAAAGTATTATATAGAAAATAGGTTGCTAGTAGATGATTTCGAATTTCAATAACTTCATTTTCTGGTTTGTCGGAAAGAGAACTTGGTGCAGGTAATGGCATGTCTATATTTTTTAGAAAGTCATTCAAGCTAAAATTCTTCTTCAGCATGTTTCAAACTTTTTGTGTTTCTGCTAGTTCCAATGTATTTCCTTCTATGGCGCAACTATGCTGTACAAAACTTACAGTCAGCCTTTTTAGAATGTCCACAGATGAAATTCTTGAGTAGGCTTTAAGGCCATCAATTGCTTTCAAAAAATCAGTATATTCGGCCTAAAAGTCTAAAGATTGATAAGAAGTTAGTATTTTCACATGAAAATTACAAATAAGAAATCATACAGTAATCTTGTACATGCCACTCAAATGGGCGAAAGTAGTCCTTCCAAACTTTCCCAAATTTAATAAGTTTGGACTATTCTTGTATTCCTTCTTTATGGATTAAGAGGGGTGAGTAAACCTGCAAGAAAGCTAGGTTAAAACGATAATATTTTTCATGCAATAAATTCAGGACAGCAAATGAACCTTTTTTAACATGTCAAGTCTTTCTATATTACTTCGACTATAAGAGCAGATTTTTTCGAATGTTGATAATAAACGAGGTTGCACACTCTTGTGACGGCCACAGTGAAAAGTAGATTTTATCAAAAGAGAAATAAGTGTTCTAGACATGTTTTTTTTTGAAAACAGTATGACACTAGAGACACAGAAAAATATTGATATATATAAATTAATATAAGTCAATATTTTTAGGCCAAATCATAGGGAAATCGATATTTTTACAATTTTTTATGCAGTGTAACTATACCACTTGGGGCAAAATTTTTTACTGACCTCGGGTCAGCGAAATTTTTGGCAGAGTGATATGCCTTAAGGAGTCACCCCTATACTTGTTGACAAAACTAATGGGATTTGGGATTTAGCTATGGACAAATCCAAATAAATGAGATTGTTCACTTAATTTAAAAATCTTATATGGCAAAATTGGACAAATCCCAATCTCAAATTCCAAATCCTATCCTAAATCCCAAATCCCATTCCAAATCCCAAATCCCAAACCTTATCCCAAATACCAAACTCTATCCCAAATCCCAAATCCCATCTAAATTCCAAATCTTATTCCAAGTTCCAAATCCCAAATCCCAAATCCCAAATTCCATTCCAAATGCTATATGGGCGAATTTTTTTTATTTGATAATTATCAAAATTAGATTACGATAATAATAGTTTGTAAAATTTAATTATGTGATATTGCAAAATTGCTAAGAGTACTATGTAGAGTAAAATGTAAAATTAATAACTTTATAAAACCGCTTATAAATCATTAATTTTTAACGATTTCAAATATTTTTATTATGTGTGCCACTTTTATTTTAATAAATACTAAATTCCAACATTAAGAATTTTTGCCTATATCAATATGCAAAATTTTCAAATCCATTGATTGATAAAATTTAGATTACAAATCAAAAATAATGCTTTAGATTACGTATGTTGATAAAAATAACAAATCTGTTGTGATGCTTGAGATTGCATTGATATATTAGCAGTAACTTCTATGTACTTAATTTGTTCATCGGGTTTTTTATTCATTTAATTTTTAAAAAGAAATTTTTTTTAGTGTTCCTAAAAGTAGGTGCACTGCAAGTTAAAACACAATTATATATATGCCAGCCTTGTTATACGTAGTAAGAAATTTATTACAGTGTAATTAAACTTTAGTACAATTATACTTGCTACCCAAATTCAAAATTACTAGTTTGAATTTGTTCATGTTCAAATCCCAACTTCATTCCAAATACTTTATTAAATAATCTTTGTTTAAACAAATAGCATAGTTATAGATAATATATTTGCAAAATATTAAGTTTTCTTGTTTGTTTAATCTTGGAAGTTTTGCCCAGCAAGTATAAGCATGATATAGTAAAGTATACAAAGTATTATCTAGTTATATTGTGAAGTTTTTTTTTCTTAACCGAATAACTTTACTAAGAATCACTTGTTAGATGGTGCCACTTTAAAAAATCATTTACATCAGTTTTTTTTCACATATATATATATTTTTTCTATATTTATATATATATATATATATATATATATATATTTTTAGCACTTGCAAAAATGGAATATATTGCAAATAACAAAAATACGAATAGCGATAAAACCTCAAATGATTTTTTTTTAATTAGCGAAACTGAATCATCTATATAAACTAAGTCATCAAATAATAGTAGATGACCCCTATTAAATATATAGGATGAGTTTAACGTTATAAATAATGGATTAGGGAAGCATAAAGGAGCAAGTTGTAGGTATTGTTCTCATATATGGGCTAGAGGAAGAGCTCAGGAACTGAAATCTCATTTTGCAATGAAATGTAAAGTAAGAGTACCTAGAGAAGTTCGAGTTAAAGTACTTTGAAATCTTCAAAGCAAACCTTCTAAATTAGCCACCCGCAAAAAAAGAAAATCAAACTATTCCTAGTTGTCTCTGGATACTTATTATGACACAAAAGAAGCCATTGATAAGACTAAAGAAACAAGAGCCAACCAATCATTAATTAAATAGATTGTGTGTTCAGGTATATTATTTTCAGCCTTTGATAATCCTTTCTTTAAAGATTATACTAAGATATTAAACCCTGGTTATGATCCATCTAAGCGCACCACATTAGCATCATCAATTTTGGATTCAGAGGCAGCAAATATCATAATTAAAGTAGAAAATGAGCTATCTAAGGCCAAAAATTTAACTTTATGTATAGATAGTTGGTGCAGTCCATTGAAACAAAGCATATACACTTTTGTTATAATAACAAATAAAAGGAAACAGTATATTCATTTATTATGAGATTTTTCAAAGTTTTCATATATAGCAAATTTTAATGCTGAAAAAATTATAGAGGTATTAGAAAACGTTGGGCCTGAAAAATTTATAGCTATAGTTTCTGACACTGAAATGTCGATGATAGCAGCAAAAAAACAGGTTACAGAGAAATATCTGCAAATTTTACCTATAAGATGCATTGCACATCACATCCAGCTTATCTGTAGCAGTATTTGTAAATTACCTCATGTGAAAAAAGGTTTATCTAATTGTCAAACAATTATAAGTTTTTTTAGGAATTCTTACTCTGCTAGCGCTGCTCTCAGAGAAGAAATTATATATATCTTTACTCTTGGTGGAAATTTAAAATCAACAACTAAGACCCAGTGATCAATGGCATGGGATTCTTGTGAATCTATATTATGTAACGAAACAAACATTAAATCTGCAAGTTTTACTATTCAATTTTTATATTATCTCATTTCACTCCTATTTCACAATATTATATATATATATTTTCTATTGCTATATCATTGTACTACCAACTCTTTTTCTATGCGACCATATAACACAATTGTACTTTTATGACCATATTTTACTTACACTTTTTAATTTTAATTTTTTAATAGGTTTTAGAACAAGAAGCTCAAATTTTTAGTCATGCAAATTCTGTAAAAAATCTAATTAATGATCGTCAATTTTGGATTGACATAAAGCAATTACGGAATATTCTTGGCCCAGCAAAATGAGCTATAAAAAATGTAGAATTTCGAACCACTGTGTTAGCAGATATATTTGTTGAACTGGTAAAAATGGCAATCGCAATCCAAGAGACATCTGTTTATATAATAGTCTATTTCGGCATGATTGCATTGCTATTTATAATAAGCGATGGAAAGAATTTGATGTAGAATTGTATCTTTTGGCTTTTTTTTTACACCTGACTTATTGTGGTATTTAAAATGTTTAATATACAGGATTAAATTTAGTATAACCTACATCTACTTTTAAATTAATTAATTAATAGTCAATTTTATTAATAGTGTAGAATATACCAAATTTAGTTTATATATGCATAGCATGCTTTTGAGAATGTACTTCTACTTTACTATTATTATTATTTTTATTTTTTTAATAAGCGATTTTCTTGAGCCTGGCACATACAAAAATTATATTCTTAAAAAAGCATTAGAAATATGAAAACAATTAGGTGGTGGTTGAATAAGTGCCGATCTCTTAAAAACTCAGATGAGTTTGTACAAAAATTATGAGGCCCCCTTTGATGATGGATTTATTGCATCTGCTGATACAATTACTAATTGGTGAATGTCTATAGACCTTAAAAAAAATGAAGATCATATTAAAACCCTTGCTCTAAAAATACATTCTGTTTCCCCTTATAATGCCACCTATAAGTGTGTATTTAGTATATTGAACTGGTATTTTGGAAAAAGACGTACTAGGTGTATTAATTTTTTCTCTCTTATTATATTTTACATTATTGCTACAAATGTTTGCTTTTTCTAGATTAAGCATTGAATGCCTAGAGGTTATGGCCCAGATGCATTCATTTCTAGTCGAAAACACTAAATCAGAACTAAATTATGTAGATCAAAATATTAGCCAAGAAGATCTTTTGTCAATTTTTAATCAAATAGCAAATTCTATTGAAGATGGCACTGACTTGTTTAGTGAAGAGAATTCATTTTCTTTTCTGGAAGAATTTATGAAAGAAAACACAGAAGATGTTTTAGAAGAACTGGAAGAATTAGTTAATGAAAATTCAATGAATTTAGAAGTTGGAGACTTTATATCTTTATCTTCTAGGTTGGAACCCAATGAATATACAAGTTTAGATGAAAAAGTAATACATAAAGATAGAGATTTTGATGTAAATGATCTGATTAATAATTAGATTAAGAATACATAATTAATGTTAAAGTCCAAAAAATTTATATAAAGAAGCACTTATAGATTTAAACACTACTAGAAATAACTAAATAATGTACCTATATTAAAAAGTTGGGTTCAACTTTATTACCTGATGGATAGATATGAAAAAGCATTCACAGATTTATACAAGTCATTAAAAAGAAAAAAGAATAATAATGTATTATCAGGAGATATATCTCCAATTCGTAAAGTGAATGTGTTTTAGGTTCTGATTATTTAGGTTGTATATTTCCAGTTAGTTATCTATATATTGAATTTATTACTCCTAGTAAGTATTCGCAAATTTTTTTTTTTGTTTAATTGAATTACTGGACCATTTTTATTGACCCACTAAAAAAATTATTATCATTTTTAACTATGATCAACGAATATCTGCAAGTAGTCTACTTGTCCTTTATTTCAATTCAACCACACTATTTATTTGCCTTTGGATTCCCAATGACCAATAACTATACAATAGAAAGTAGCTATTCTGAAGATTTATAACATCTAAAGTTTGTAACTCCACATTTTCTCAATATTCATCTCGACACATACCGATAAGTTTTTTTGGATCAATAAATACCAATGTTTTGCTTATTGTTGAGTATATCATATTAATCATTATTATTTTATTGCATGATCCACGAATACATAATAGTTATAGTTATTTATCTGCATAATCTTCAATACTTTATCTTAAAAAAAAAAAAAAAAAAAAAAAAAAAATAGTAAATGAAAGTATTTATAATGAAACTAGTATTTATTCGCCTATATGTAGCCTTTTTTAATAGAGAAAACTAAAATAAAATGGGCCGTATATTCATTCCTGATATAAGTACACCTGAAGATATCTGTAAACAAATTATAAAGCTTGCAAATGAAGGTACAACACCCTTGCAAATTGGTGTACATCTTAGAAACTTGTATAATTTTGAACCAATTAAGAACATTACAGTAAATAAAATTCTTCGAATCTTGAAGTATAAAGGTAGGCTTTTTTTTAAAAAAAAATAATAAATAATAAAAATAAAAATAAAAAATAAGAAAAAAAAGCCTCTGATTAAGTAATGTTGTTGATTCATTTCTTTTAAGGTTTAGCACCCGAGATTCCTGAAGATCTTTACCACTTGATCAAGAAAACAGTTACTATTTATAAACACTTAGAATGTAATCGTAGTGCTAAGGATTCTAAATTCTGGTTAATTTTAATAGAATCAAGAATTCACTGCCTTGCCAGATTCTATAAACATTAGAACAACTTCATCCAGACTGGAAATTGTATCCTTAGACTTACTCTTTATATTTATCTGGGAGTTTGTCTTTTAGTTATACTACATGTGATGTATTTTATTAGGCAGTAAAGAGTTATTAATAAAGATTAAAGATTTAATTTCTAATGAATTTAGATCTCTACATTTACTACTACAATTTTCTGTGTAAACTACATCTCTCTTTCTTTTTTTTTTTTTTTTTGTACTGAACAAATATGGAATGTAACAGATCAGGGCAGTTTATATAACAAATTCTAATATAATGTCAGTATTATCCTTAATTTTTTTATAGCATAGTGAACTTTCGATAATATTTTTTTCTCCAATAATTTCACAAGGATATATATAGTGATAAAGATGCTTAAATTCTGGTTAATTTTACCAGATTGAGAATCTGCCACCTCATCAGATTATACAAAGTAGTAGAACAACTTTCTTCAAACTGGAAGATCAGATTTTTTATATTTTTGCTAGGAGCTTACTATAGTCTGCCTTTCAATTATCAGTATCAGTGTTACAGCTTTATTGGGTGCTAGAGAATAATTGATTTATTCAAAAGGTTAGCGTAAAGATTTGAACTCCTGAAGAATTCAAATCTCTACATTTTATTATATAATTGAACTTTTTTCTTGTTAAACTTCTACTAAAGACATTTCTGATTCATGTTAATTAGTAGACAGATAAAACATGAAAATACAACATTTATTCATTATGTAAATCTGAAAGTATTAATGATCCGAACAGAATATTCTAGTTTGACTATTGATATGAATATTGAATTGTAGATAAGATGAAAATAAAGTATTATTAATTATCAAAAACTTGCTAGTATGAATGACTCAGATGGATATTTTGACTTTTAATTAGAGTTCAGAAGATGAAATAAGTCATTAATTGTAAAAACCCTATAGGTATGAATGGTTTGAACATAATATTATAGCTTGGTTATTGTCATGAATGAAATAAGGCATTCATTTATTGTTAAAATCTGTAGGCATGAATAATCCAGACTAACCGGAGTTAGGAAAGATTAAAATAAGGCATTCATTCATTATCAAAAGTCTGCAGGGTATGAATGATTTGGATGGATTAGTTATTGTTATAAATGGAATTGGAGTTAAGAAGAATGAAATTATAGATGGAATATATATACCATATATCAGTTGTGCATTAATGTTACTTGCTCTCCCTTTACTTCGATCCTGGTCATGTTAGCACATGGAATTGGGATTAGTGGTTAGCAGTTAGGATGGGTATTCAAATTTTAAAATGATAGAGTTAGGGATGGTAAAAAATTGGTTTTTAAATGATTTTTATGTTTTTTAACCTGATTTAATAAAATGTTATAAACCATTATTGATTATGATACTAATGAAAATTACTGCACCTGGTTGGATAATTTTAATTTCAGTATTGCCGTGATATTTAAATAATATTAGATATAATGAAATGATGTTAATTAAAATCACATTTTAAAGCAATATTGATTTAAAACATTGTGTTTTAAATCATTTGCCATCCCTAGATAGAGTTTGTATTTTATCAGTATAAGAATTTTGGAATTTACTAATTTACCCCAACTTCTAATAGGTTGTACTAATTATTCACTTAGCGGGGTACTTATATTATTAATCAAAATTTTTTTGCACTCCAATAATGAAGTTGGGGAGAAATTAGGGTGCTCAGAATTTTGATATATACTATATTTTAGATTTTACATTAGATGAAATTTGTTTTAGATTTTGTCTGTTAATCTTTTATACTGTTAAAAGTTTCTAATATCATTGTAAATTACAGTAATGCATGATAAATTCAAAGGAGAGTTGAATTCTAACAAATTTATAAACTTTTCTTAAAGCTTATTATCTATAAAAATTAATAATCTATATGCTACATACTCTATAAAAAAATCAACTTAGCTTTATATTAAAGTTGTATAATAAATTTAGATAAATCAAATAACTTCAAATAACTTTTAGTAAGCATAATAAAATAATAAAACAATAAAACAAACAACTACTATAATAATAATTAAAAAAATTCATATTAATAACAATTAATTAATTGAATATAGTCTTACAATTCTAGTCATCATCGCTATAGTGCATTCGTGTATTTTTAAGTGTTGACTAGACTATAAAGTGTATCAATTACTATTTTTTTTTGTTTTTTTTTTGATATTTCTTATTGTAAAGTCATAGATAATGTTTGACCCATCTTCAAATGAGAAGATGGATTAGACATAGTCTATATGACTTTACAATAAGAAATGTCAAAAAAAAAAATTGAATTGACACACTTTATAGTCTAAATGCGCTATAATGTATATTATTTGACATCTTACTATAATCAGACTGCCAAATAATCAAGTTATTTGTCATAGTAAAGATATCAAATAACACCATTATATACTAATAACTTATTTATCTGATATAAGAGAGTTATTTGTAAAAATAACTCCTGTTATTGGATATGAAATATCTAATAACTATATATTTAATATATAGTTATAATTCTTAGCAATTATACAATATCAAATCAAAAATTTTACTTATATTATTTGGCCAGAGTTTGGGATTTTGCCAGGGTTTGATATTTTGCCAGAATTTGGGATTTGACTAGAGTTTGGGATTTGTCCAGAATTTGGGATTTGGCCAGAGTTTGGGATTTGGCCAGAATTTGGAATTTGGTCAGCTTTTGGGATTATAACAACTTAAATAAGATTTTTCTATTTTAGGATTTGGGATTTTTTCACTTGGGATTTGGGTTTGAGTGGGATTTTAAATATTTGTAATTTTGCCAACATGTATAGGTACCCCTAAAGGACCTGAAAATTTCATGAAGTGTATGGTTATTGAACCTAGCTGCCGCACCAATTTTGTCATGAATGATTCTTGCTTTTGATTGGCTATGAGCAATGATCTCTTGATTTTGATTGGCTAAAAGCAATGATCAATAATTTAGGCCAAAGTTACTCAAAATTTTACTAATAAAACTACAGCTACACATTAAGTGAAAAATATTCCTGGGCTAATTTTATCATTGTGCGGGCCTATTTATCTAAAAATTTCTATTTTGGGAATAAAAAATTAAAAAGTTAATTCCAGCCAAAAATTATATAAACAATTATATAATGCGGGCCAAAATTTTGTAGATCATGGTCATTAGCCAATCAAAATCGAGAATCATCCATGACAAAATTGGTGCAGCAGCTATGTTCAATTGTATAGTTATAAAGCATTTTTAATGTTGTACATATGCTAAATCTCATAATTAATTGGTCAATACATTAAACACAGTAAAAAGTAAATTTCTGCACTTAAAATCACAATATGCAATACATATTACTATATTTATCTATTGTATGAGTGTTCGCTTTTGTCTTGATTAAAGTGCATGACAATTAGTTTAAAAATATCTTTTTTTTATTATTGCACTAACTAAATATGTTATGAAACTCAAGAAGAAGCATAATACTGTATTGGCTACTTACCATAGATAGATACGAATATCAAGATAATTTAAAACCTGATTGCTTATAAAATTTAATTGTATATCTATGAGCTTGCCAGATTAGCTATCTCAAAGATCACTAACAATCAGCATCACTATCGAGATGTTGCAGTTGTGGCAATAACCTTGATCATTAAAGGGTTATTAAAATTCGAAATTAATAAGTTGCGTATCGAAATAAGTAGAGCGGAGCTCATGGCAAGGCATAGAATTTTAAACAGCATTTTTACTATGTAAATTATGTGTTAAAGACACTAGCTTCGCTATAAATCGAAAAAAAATAAATTGAGATTCTCTAGTTTTAATGTTGAAACCCCTAATTTTAAAATCGGCTAGTAAGTATCTAAATTCAATACAAAATATGACTATCTTATTCAACATTTCTAAATTAGACTTTTAATCGAATTAAGCTTAGCTACTTATTTGCAAATCATTCATGATTGCCAGTAGATCAATATATTTGATGCACTATAATGATTATTATTTTCATTTAAGATTGCTTAGTCCAAATACTTCAGTTAAGTTGTAGTTAAGTCATGGTTGTGTCGTGGTTGAATTTTTCTTATATAATTATATGAAAAAAGTCATACCTCAGTTGAGTCACAGTTGAAACGTGTTAGAATCTTAGTGATGTAGATTGATGATCTAACTCTTTATTGATATGATAAATACGTAATAATATATATATTATTATTAGCAATGGGAATTTTTAATTGTTAATTACGAATTGTTAACGATAAAAAATTAAAAATTAATTAATAATTTAACAATAATTTCTAAGCAATTAATAAATGAATTATCAATATGCATAGAACAGCATCATAGAAAATGATCCAATTGATGATTTAATCAAATCATTGATTACATCAATGATTGTTTGTATTTATTTAGTATATTCAAGGGATAATTAATAAATGTGTATAAGAATATTTGATCTAAACAATTATTATCACTATTATTGCCATATGCAAAACCTACCATTATTACCATCAGTGATAGAAGACTTTCATTACTGTTGGCAGTTATAAGAGGTTTGCTATTACTATTGGTGTTATAGGAGGTTTATGGTAGTTTGCTATACTGTTAGCACTGTCAGTGTTATTCTGTAAGAGGTTTTTCCATCACTGTTGGTGTATAGGTTTACCAATACTGTTGGTGTTATAGGAGGTTTGCTACTACTGTTAATTCTAGGTTTTATCTGCTATTCTTTCCAGAAATGCAGTATAAGCAAGGATGTATAGGAGATTTACTGTTACTGTTAATATTATAGAATGTACTGTTAATTTCTAGGTTTTATCTACTATTCTTTCCAGAAATTTAAGTAAGAGTAAAGAAATAATTGGTAATCACACAATTTAGTTTTTTTTTTAGAACAAAAAAAATAATGTAAATATAATATTTGTATCTCCTGAAAAATATTTAATAAAAGTATAATGTAGTAATTATTATTGTATATTCATTTAATTGTTAAATATTTAATCACTATATATATTACTCGCAATTATTGTGCTTGCTTACATAAAACAAAAAAAAAGTAAATTCTAAACTTTTCATACTAAAAATCATTATACTTAATTGCTTACATAAAACAAAAAAAACAAATTAAACTTTTTATATTAAAAATCATTGTGCTTGTTCACATAAAACAAATATTAAAATGATATCAAAATCTAAACATGGCAGAAAACCAGGTTCTATTTGGGATTATTTTGAATGGGGAGACTTAATGAATTCAAAGCACTTTCAGGCAATATGTAGTTATTGCCATGATCCAATATTGGGAGTTCCTAAAAGAATGCTTAATCATTTAAAAAATACTTGTAGAAAAATTAGAAAAGAAGTATTAGACATTCTAGATAATATAAAACTTAATAAAAAAAAACATAAACATGTTCGAGTTAATACATCTTCTTCAGATGAAGATAGCAATATTACTGATCCAAATCAAACTCCTAATAATCAAACTCCTAATAATCAAACTTTACCATTGAATAATAATCAACTAATTTATTAACAATTATTAAGAGCTCTTATCTCAGCAAATGTTCTATTTATCTTTATAGAAAATGAAGAGGTTAAGAAGTTATTCAAAATGTTACAACCTTCGTATGCCTTACCATCATGAAAATGGATCAGTACAGAAATCTTAGATAATGTTCATGATGAAATAGAAATTGAAATTCAAAAGTTTGTTGATAACTCTAAATTTTTAACTTTGTTAGGGAATGGATAGACAAATATTTTAAAATGTAGCTTAGTTAATTTCATTGTTACAAATGAAAAATAGCAAAGTCAAATATGGAAAATTTCTGATTTTTCAAACCAATACCATACAGGTATTATAATGTTTGATGTCTATAAAGAAGTAGGAATGTCATTAGATGATAAGTGGGTTGGATTTGTGTTAGATAGTGGTTCAATTATGGCAAAGGCATGACGAATAGTTGATCATGATCCTGAATTACAAGGAAAGATTATAACAGTACTTTGCATGGCACATCAAACTAATTTATTAGTTAAAAAGATTATTAAATCTAAACAATTCGAACCTATAATCTCAAATATGCTTCATATTATTAATCATTTCTATAACTCAAATCAGGCCCTAGCTAAGCTAAGAGAGTTAGAAGAAAATAAAAACTTAACTTCAAAATATCCCTGTATTACAAGATAGGCAACATTTTCAAAAGCCACAGAGACTCTTTTATCAACTCGAAATATTATGTGAATTATAGCTATTATAGATTCGAATCTTTTAACTATTCAAGAAAATAATCATAATAAAATAATTAATATGATTGAAGATACAAGTTTTTGGACAAAACTTGATAAATTTTTTAATATATTAAAACTATATGATTATATAGTTAAAATTTTAGAATCTGATAAAGTAACACTTAGGCATATTTCAGTATGTTGGGCATGACTCAGAAAAATTATTGACGAATTACCTAATGATAGTAATTTTTTAGACTTTAAAGACTTAATGTTAGATGAAATTGATAATTGGTAGGGAAAAATTTACAATCCAATTTTTGTAATTACATGGTTCTTACATCCACACTATCATGGTAAAAGAATAAGAGAGGAAAGACTTCTGCAATTACAAGAAAATGCATATAGCCTATTTTGTTTGCTATATTCAGATAAAGATAATGATGCATTTATTGATGAATGGCTTATGTATTAAAATTATGAAAAATTTTTTAACAAAAATTTATCACTTAACCATCCTAGTATTACTTAATTACCATTAAGATATTGGCGAACTGTATTTATTCATGCACCAAATTTAGCCAAGTTTGCTTGTAGACTTTTTTCTATACTGCCAAATTTAGCAACATCTAAAAGAGTATGGTCATTAATAGATAATATTCATACAGAACAGCATAATCAATTAACACCTTCTAAAACTGCCAAAATGGCAAAAATTGCCTGGTATTTAAAAGGTAAAGCAGATAAAATTAGTTCAACATCAACAATTAATATGCTAGATAAAGATGATGAATTAGATGACTATGATTATGAAGTAGATGAAATAATAAGTAATTTAGAAGAAGTTTCTTTAAAAATTATTAATGATATAGAAAATTTAGATCCAGATAATTGAAATGACTTACCAACTACCTCTCTTTTTGAATTTTTTAATCCTCAATTAATTCATAATATAATTAAATTAGATATTTAGTACTTTAGAAATAGAAATAGTAGTATAGATATAAGAGTTAAGTATCGTAATATTATATAATATATTAATAGATTAAATAGTATTATTTTAATTCCAATTTTTGTAACCTATAGATTAATAGATTAATTGAGATTGTGTGAGCAAATACTCAAATGAAAAGACTTACTAAATATTAATCAAAATAAGTATAGAACTTAAGTAACTATTAAGTAGACTATACAGAGAAATTTGAGTAGATAATTACTGTAAGAATCCATAGATAAATAATTACTTCATAAATTAAATAACACTTGTAAGTATTAAAAGTGAAAAATTATATAATGCTGTTATTTTTTTATTAATAATGATAACTTAATTAATAATTATACTTTTTATCCACAATATATAACAGCAAATGTTGGATCTTTAAAATACTAATGGGTATATATTATGAATCTTATAGTTGTAAAATGACTTTAACTATTTTCATATAGAGAGTGGTAATGATAATGGAAATTCTAACATTGTTACATATTTCTGCAAGTACACTTTTGTGAAACTATTTTCAGATAAAACTATATTAGAGTACATAAAAACTATGATTAATTACTGATTACATTATTTTATCAATGTTTTCTATACATTTTGGATAATTCAATTATTAATTGTTAAAAATGATTTATTAAGTTAACAATTTCCTATTACCAATTAATAATTAGAAATTCCCATCACTAATTATCGTTAATCATGATTTCTTGTTATAGACAAGGTTATATATAGTGTTCCTATAAACCTGAACTGAACTGAACTTTGGTCAAGTTCAGGTTCAGGTTCAGTTTAATACTGAACCTGAACTTAAACTTTTTCTAAAAAAAAGTTCAGTTCAGGTTCAGTATTGAACTTTTAATTTAAGTTCAGATTCAGTTTAAGTTCATAAATTTTAAGTTCAGTTCAGATTCAGGTTCAATGATCTGCAAAATTTGAAGTTCAGTTCAGGTTCAGGTTCAATAATTTGCAAATTTTAAAGTTCAGTTCAGGTTCAATAAACTTGGTTTATAACCTAAACTAAACTAAAAACACTAATTTTAGATTTTTTTATTAAAAATCCAAAATTAAGCATCTTTCCTTTAAAACTAAAAATTATAAAATAAATATATGCCAATATGATGTATTTTTATATGTAGAACAAAGTTACTTAAAGAATGAAAATAGGATTAATTAGTAAAATTTCAAGAATTATAACAATTTTCATAATTTTATTAATAAAATTATAAAAAATATT